GGAAATCTTTATCTGGAGTGCTATTTGATAAAAGAATCCCACACAAATTAAAGGGAAAAATTTACAGTTCCATAATACAACCAACTATTCTATATAGTTCGGAAACATGGCCAACCAAAGAATCAGACGAGAGAAGTCTACAAACCATGGAGATGAGAATGCTGAGGATGATTGCTGGGGTAACAAGAAAGGATAAAGTGCGCAGTACAAGAATACTAAGTAGTTTAAAGGTAGTGCCCATTAAGACTAAGTTAATGTTAAATAGACTTAGGTGGTATGGGCACACAATGAGAAGGCCTATGAACTACATAGGAAATAAAGTTAAGAGTTTGGAAGTGATGGGCAAACTTAAAGAGGAAGGCCAAAACTTCAATGGGGCCATAAAGTTAGAGCCAATATAAAGAAGTATAAATTAGATAAAAGAGATTGTATTAATAACATAAAGTGGAGAGAGATGTTGAAGGAGCTTACCACCAGAAAAGGTGAAAGCTAAAGAGAAAAAAAATAAAATTATTTGTTTTTAAAAATATTTTAAAATAATTTAAAAATATTTTTGAAAATATTTAAAAACGTGAGAAAAAGTATGAGACTAAGTGTGATTATTTTAATTTACTCAAAAAACGTGAAAAAATCGTGAAGTGTGAGGAAACGTGATTAAGTAAAAAAATTAGGTATACTCGTTACCTTTTCAAAAAGTAACGGGCTACTCGTTACTTAAAAAAATTAAATATATACATTAGAGTAAAATAAAAAAATATACAATATTTTCAGAATAAAAAAATAATAAGTCGATCCATTTGAATGAGTTGGGTCTGGTTTAATTTCTTGACCAAAAATCTTACCAAAAACTAAGATATTTCGACCCAAGCCCAACTAAGAAAATTAACCAATAAATATATTTAAAAAATTTGGACTTGACTTATTTTACCTATATCTTATTGCCCTGAAAATCTTGGTCGTTGTAAATAGATAAAGCACGACTCTTACTTAATATTAAATAATGCTCAAATAAAGAAGTTAGAACTTAGAAGGCATCTTTTTTAAATATTTTGTAATCTAATAATAAAGCCAAAAATTTAAGAAACATACTAAGCCAACATTTTTTCTCGAAAAATTAGATTTGGGACGTTTATTTTTTAAAATTAGATGGGGTGGCACCGTTCTGAAAATAAAACTGGTTAACAATATATATATTTTTTTCAATAATTTTGAAATAATCAATAATTGTCAAAATATCCGTTTTATGCTTGTTTAAATTTTATAAAAATTTTAAAATATTACATATGACAATTATCAGTTTTCTATATTATATCTAAAAAGGTTCAAAAATGTATTATAATAACATTATGACTGTCACTTTTCTATGGTCAATCTTTATTTTAATTTTACATCTTAGTAATATAAATTTTAACCTTGCGTCAAAAAAAATCAAAAAAGTTAAATAAAAACGAATATGACAAATGTCACATTTCTATGGTATATCTTTATTAAAATTTTAATTTTACATCTAAATAAAAAAAATTTTAACCTGTTTGCGTAAAAAAAAATCAAAAAAGTTAAGTAAAACGATTATGACGATTGTCAATTTTTTGTGTTACAAATTAAATTACAATACATCTTCATTTAAATTTTAACTTAAATTTTTTTTACAATATTAATTTTTACCCATTTATGTAAAAATAACGATTAGAAAAATTATCGCTTTTCTGAATTTAACATTTTATTAATAATATAATAAATTAAATTTTTACCCTTCTGTGGTAAAACTTTTTTTATAAAATACGATTATGAAGATTGTCGGTGCATCTTTATTATTGAATTTATATTTTAATTTAACATGCTTAAAAAATAAATAATATTTTTTTCTTTCATCAAGGCAGGAGGAGAGGCATAAAACATAAAAGAAATAATATATTAATAAAATTCAAAAACATCTGGGCTTTTAATAAAGGGGTAAAAAAATAAATATCATGAAGATCTTTGAAGATCGTTACACAAAATTTTTAAAAAAATAAAAGATCTTCAAATTTTACGATCTTCAAAGATCTTTCTTGCTCAAATTTTTGAGCTAGATCTCGCTCAAAAATCTTCAAAGAAGATCTTTCGTACAACTCTGAAGGTGAATGAAGATATTATAAAGTGTTAGGCATTAAATATGTGTTCATGTACATGGCACATTAACTAAAAAACGATTAATAGCATAGTAAACTTTTATCTTTTTAATCGGTCGGACCGGACCATAGGACCGTGTTATGGGACCGGATCGTCCCATGGGACCCAAGAGCATGATGGGACCGACTTGGACCGGACATTTGCAAACACTAAATGTTTCAATATCGATACCCTTTTCTAAATTACTATCCTAATAATAACATATCATTCTTTGTTACAAAAATCAGATATTTTTATGCCAAATAATATTTAAGGATTTTTTTAAAAAAATATATATTATATCGCGCCGACAAATAATTAGCCGCCACGCTTTTTTAGCGTCGGCGTGGTCGAGTGTTCGATCGGCGGCGCACAGGTCTTATTTATAACCCGATTTCCGCCCAGGTTAATTTTTTTTGTTTGAATTTTGAAATTTTTTTTTAAAAATATTTCTGATAATTATCTCTCTTGAATTCTTCTAGAAAATTATCGGATAACTTAAGAATATGTTATATACAAAATGGCAATATTTTTTTTTAAAATCAATATCAAATACATAAAATGTAAAATTATACTTAAATTTTTTTTAAACATATATATATATATAATATATATATATAGATAACATGATAAAAAAAAAATATAATGAAATAATCTAATTTTTTTTTTTTTTTGAAACAAGTTTCTCGGAGTTTTCTTGCCACATTTTTTTTTTCTTCATTTGTATTCGCATGCAAATTGATTTGACTTTTCGAATAGAATAGAATATTCTAACTATCCATTCTACGTACACTAGAGACCTAAAGGATACAAATTTTTTTTCCACCAAACTCGAATATGAAATTAATTTCCTGATTTCCCAACCCTTCCTTATTTATTTTTTTTATAGTATGTTATACATTATAAGAAATTATCTATAAAATTGTAACAAAATATTTCCGAACCTCGACCCGTCCAAAAAAAAATTTCTTACCCAATTTTCGAGGTCCGATTTAGCGGACCTCGAAAATTTGTCCACCTTCCTGTTGCTGAAGGCTTTCTTTCATTTCGTATAATATTAAAACCCTTTCTCTGTAATTGATTCGGATCTAACTTGCCCTTTTTGACCTATACTTCTTCGCCAACAAATGCTAATAAAACCTGATATGTATATGGCGTTTTGTTGACCAAAGGGCCCACCCATTTTACGGCTATTCATATAAATTTGTAACTTTTCCTTTTTAAAGTGAGTTTTGGTTTTTAACACCTCACCAAATTTTTTTGTGAATCAAACTCTTGACTCATTGAAATCATCTTAGTTTCGACCCAAAGACCTGCAGAGGTACCACTTGCAGTGAGCCAGGCCTGATTTTTTGCCCAGAAATTCTTTTCGCTAGGCCAGGCCCGGATTTTTTTTTAAAATATATTTTATTGATTTAAGATTTTATAGCTAATAATCTCGGTTTCAAATATTTGGTTTTAAAATATACGGCCCGGCCCGGATATTTTTTTAAAGCCCGGCCCGAATATTTAAAATGATTAAAATACGATGCGACCCGTGTACCCAGGTCGGGTTTATGGCCTGGCCTGCAGGTCTTTGCTTTCAACATTCTCAATAAAACATTATTAAATATATATCATTTAATTTTTCTCGGCTATCACCTGCTTAGAAAACATATATAAATTTTATCCTAAATATTTGTTGCCTACTGCTCAGTAGAAATGTATAATTTCTTCAGAACTCATCTCTATATTTGATAAAATGAAGGGAAAGAAAAATTATATAAGCATAATCGAATATATTTTTTAGTTATAGTGAAGATCTGTAGATCCTCTATTAGTAGCGGAGTTTGAAAAAAAAGTGTCCAAAAGTATCTTTGAAGACATTTTTTATTTTTGAGGAGTGTTTAAACTATGAATGGTGGTTCTGAATAAATTTGTGTCCTTGCGACAAATATCGAGTATATACGGTATAATGAACTATAAAGGCATTATTGATTAAATGGTGGGCAGATTAAATGGCTATGAATTTTATTGTTCAAGTGTTGTACCTTTATAGATCGGGGTCGATAATGGACAGTCGGCATCTTCGCTAATTCCTAGCATAAAGATACGCTCCCACTGAGTAACGACTCCCGAACCGCGCATCAAATCTTCTTCCATACTTTTTCAACTGGCGGTTTAAATTCTGACAAATAACTTATCAAATTCTGCATCCCTACTTTAATTTATCATTTTTAAAATACCTTTCAGCTCTTCAAATTTTTTTAAAAAAACTAATTCTCTAATAGATTTGTCTACCCTCTCCACTTTTAAATCCCCAGGTTCACTCACTCCAAAAAAATCGATGGTCACAAATGTATTGCTCTGAGGTGCCCCTAAAACCATTACCACACCTTCTAGCAGTAGAATCTTACGTTCCCAAGTCCCTTCCCTTTTGCTAAATCCCTGTTAGCTGAAATCCTTGCGCTTCTAGGTCAGTCCAGCTTTGTAGGATCGAACCTCTCCAGATCTCTAGTATTTACGAAAAGAAGGTTACCTTCCTCGCTCATAGCTCTCTTGAACCGAGCCAATGACACTGATGACTCCCGCCCTTGATATCGATTTCAATTATAAAAATGGATGCTGTCGATATATGTTCAATGATAGGATATTCCACTAAAATATAAATAACACAATTGCATCATCAACTCCTTACTAGACTATCCCCTCTCAGTGATGGTTTTTCTCATTCATTCCTATTTCTCTTTTTTTTAAACCTTTCCTCCGGAAATGGATTATTTTATTTATATAGTTTTCCCGAAGTATCCGCTTCGTTTGCTAATATACAAACCTTATTTATTTTTTTCCCCGTCATTATATTTTGCTAGGATGGAGGCTATAATAGGCTCATAAGGGCTCAACATTATTCTACCTCGAATACGCGGAAACGTTACGCCGAATGTAACGCTTTTAATAGCGGCGATAGATTTTCTAACGGTCTGTGCGATACTTGTAACGCGAACGAAAACCACAAGATATCTTGCTTGAACAATTTCTCTCCTCGAAATAAGGTGACCATAATATTTTTACGAGAAACCGACAAGGAACTGTCCGATCCTACCGGATGTGGATCGGTTGGGCACGGACAGTTCAGAAATTAATTAATCAAGACCGGACTCGAATAAAGAGTTTATCGGTTCTCCCGATTTCCTTCAAAATATCATAAATAGGGCTATAGTAATAAATCAACCAAAAATGGTTTAGACCGCTTAACTATCCGAAAAACATTTGAAAAAGATTGACTCCTCTCCGGACCGGCTTTTGAGGGATAAAGTAACTTATTCATTTGATTTCTAAGAAATCAAAGATTTTTTTAAAAAAAAAATAGCATTATGACGCCTTCTAAACCGGTTCGGTTTACCTCTTCACTTCGGGACTGAATATGGATCCGAAAAAAATTGGATCCTAACTCATATTCTTTAAAATCCAACTGACCTTGACTCTCAACAGGAGATCTTGCTCACATCTTCCTCTGAATTTATTAAATTCCGTTTTTCCATTTCCTTTTTTTTTTCTATCTCGAATTTGATTAGCTGGTCGTAAATACGTTTATTTTATATAGATAACTTTATCAAAAAAAAATATATCGTGATTTAAAAGAGAAATTACGAAGATGAGCACGCGACTCTTCGCGACAATCTGGAACGCGTGTACCCTCTCTGCCGCAAGTGCCAACATTTTCTGAACAAAAAGATCAAAGCCGACCAATCGCTTTTACCTCATACAGACGATTCTACGACGCGCATCGCGGACGGCGTAAATTTAATTTTTTTGTAGAATTAATTCGTTGTAACATTTTTGGATCATTTTTTTTTCTTGATATACTTTACCTTTTTTTTCACTTCCGCTAATACTCTTCCCCTCCCCCCGCTTTACCTCCATAAGAGTCCCTTCAAAACGAATGTTAGGCTAATATCCGTCTCTCTCGCGGCCCTTAACTTTATTCTATCCGTATGTTGCCTGGTGCTTGACCATTCGCACGTCAATCATTTACGGTACTTCGAAGTCTTTCCCGCCAACAAACCCACCCTTTGTCGTTACATAACCAATATGGCCTGCCTATTATCCGTCGTCATCCTTTATCAACGACAAGACACTGGGTTTACTGATTTCCAATTTACTATATTTCATTATTTTTTTTAGTAGTTTATGATCAAATTCCATATAAAACTCTACAGTTCAAACGTGAGTCATGTCAAATGGGATTTGGGCCCACCTTGTAAACTAAAATGGCGTCCAAAATGAGCCATAAATTTTAAAGTGAGAGAATTTAAGGTTATTATAACGGAATCACGTGGGCGAGTCCGGCCTCCTACATATAATCCCCCCCCAAAGACGGAACCATCAAGTCGGATTAAGAGAAGAAAAAAACTTGATCCTTGCTGGGATTCGAACTCAGAACCAATTTATATATCACCTTTTTATAAGGCGACAAAAGGTATAAAAATAATCCTAATTCGATACTACGGGACGATAGGGACAAATCGATCATACCTTGGGATTTGGACTAAATTTTGTCCACGAACTAGGATCCGTTAAATATATGGGAACTAGGAGAATTTTCGGTTTCTTCTACAGATAAATTTGGAGGAGCCATTTCTGAAGTTTCTTCAGGCTATTCAAGGTTTGGGTTTGGATAATAGTCATCGGTTTCGATTGACGTCTATCGATGGTATCGGACAGAATTTTTCTGTCTTTGGGGTGATTACATATTTGGAGGCCGGACTCGACCACGTGTTCTGTTATAATAACCTTAAATTCTCTCACTTTTAACTTTAGGGGCCGTACTGGAGGCCATTATAGCTTACTTGCCTTTTTGATATTTTTTAATATTCTATAGAATGGACCCTAATCGTACCCTCTCCCTGGCATTTAAACTCGGAATGGTCCATTCCGTGTTTTCTGTTTTCTCCGCAACACCTAAAAACGTCATCGGTCCCGTTCCGTTAACTATGATACCTTCGTATACATCTTCTCATTTACATTTAAACGAAAACAGTAATTGGGGCATGTATGGATGGGGGATAAATGGGCTTTAGTAATTGATGGAACCTGGAGATCGTTTCGTTACTATTTTACATAATATATCGATAATTAAAAATAAGGAAATCTTTGCATTATCAAATTCACAATCTAATACTAAACTCCGTTTGTGATTGGTTAAGTCAAAATATATTTAGGGCACATTATTGGTTAAAAATGGTATTACCTGACTGTAATATGAAGAGATCATATATTAAGGCATTTCAAAATTACACTTTTAATCAATCATTATGTGTATTGGTGCCTTATATTCTTTTGCAAAGTTTTTACCTAATGACCACCATTTTCTGATATTCAAAATTTCCTTTATATTAATCATTAATTTTTGTTTGGTTCTCTGAGATTTGGTGAAATTTTTGATTCAGCATGACACCTATTGCATTGCTGGTTGAGCTTCTGTTATTACTTAGCAATTTCAGTTTCACTTTTTTTTTGGACAACTTTTAGATAAGGTATATAAATTATTTTGAAGCAGTTATATTCAATGTGATTATATAGATTTTGATTGGTTAATAAAATAAATAAATTAATTTATGATATAGCGGGGGTTCATAATTAATATCATTCATTTTTTTTCCTAATTGCCGCAGCAGTTCTGACTATTAGCCGCATTAATTTTTTTCGCGAATTTTTGCCAATGTATCTTTCAAATATCGTGTATCTTTTAACATTTATGACGAGTACATTTTGATTTTACCAGACCCATTTACGTAGAGATATGTTTAGTGATAATCGATAGTTTTAATAAAGGGACTAAGAAATATAAAAAACACTTTTCTACTAAACATTTTGCGGAAGTTTAGAAAATATAATTTTTGCCATCTGGAAACTCCGATACTATTGTTTACAGATGATGGGCCTCCATTTTTAAAGTCTAGATTTGGGTTTAATGCTCCCTACCACCCACCACGATCAAACTTGAGGGAGGGAGAGGCGGATCGTTTTTAGCACGAACAGTAATATGATAAAATGCGGAGATTTCCATTTTAATCATTTAAATACTCCGCAAATGACAACGTAACAATCTCCATGCTCCGTATTGGCTTACGTCTCAACCAATTAGATCACTACGATTACTAAACCCCATTTATCCCAAATCCATGCGTACCTCAATTACCGGAGTGACTATATATTGTCAAACATTTTATACAATATAATATAATTACCAGAGTTGTTAAAAGATACTTTTTAAATGGATCTAGATACAGATACAACGTCTAAAATAATATCTAGAAACAGGATCTAGATACTTGTATACTGATTCTTTAACAACTCTGATAACTACTAATACACAAACATTGACATATTTTTTTGGATGATTGGGTTGTTATAGAAATTGTGGATGGAGCAAATTTTTCACCTTACCTTTACCATTTCTTTGGTTTGGATCGATTATTTACCGTCACACTTATTCGTATCAATTTTGGTGGCATTATTGTATGGACGTGTGTTTGACCATTTTTTCCGCTCTAAAATTGTTCAACACTCTTATGCCCGCTTCGCGGAGAACTACGACACACAAGTTTTACGCCAATCAAAACGGGCATTTCCCAAACTCGTTCGATGGCGGATACGTTGAGAACGATTATAATAAGTAAATAAATTAAAGTTTAAAAAAGCCCTCTCCTCTTAAGATTTTTTTTGTCTCATACTCAGCATCTGATTTCTATTTCTAGATTTTTTTGTATGAAACATCAATTCAAAAAACATAAGGAACTATTTTTATTTTGGTATCTTAGGTTATTCATTACTTTAAAAAAAAAATTAACAAAAATATTAAGTTTCGTACTCAAAAAAAAATATATTTTACCATTCGATAAATAAAAATATTCGTTCGGTTCTATTGCCGCGACCATGAAGTTGCCCGCGTTTTAACTTTTCCGCTTTCTCCAGCGTTTTTAAGCGTTTTTGAGTAAAATGAGTATACTCTAAAAAATAATATATATATATTCAGAAATGCAAGACCAAAGCCAAAATACGATCTGAACAATAAATTCGGATCATTTAATATTTCCCGGCTCGAACCAGCAACGACTAGCAACATCAATCCATCGAATCATGTATACGGTATATTTTTGGTTTTTTTAACTTTTACATTATTAAAAAATTATCAGAGTCAGAAGAGAGAGAGAGAGAGAGAGAGATCTATTGAGGCTATACAGCTTTTCAGGGGCCCAGCCCCGGGTTTGGGAAAAGAAAACCGGTTTGACTCGGGTACCCAATTCGGCATTTTACTGTCTCCTTTTTCGGTTAATATGAAAAATCATTTAATACCAAATAAAAAGTAAAAAATTTGTGTTTTCTCATTATGGCGAGACGCGCTTTATTTTTGTTATGTCACGTGTTTGAATGATTGACGAAAAAAATATAAATTATTTATAATTTAGTCTCTATATAGAAAATATGTAATACATACTATTTAAATAATTATGATTCAGTTTATCACTCTTTATATATCTTTTTTAAAAAAAAGATCGTATTAGATCTAAGCAATTGTCTAGCTCAGTCAACAATGCTACGTTCCAACATACCCGGCATCGTACCTCCAATGATATCGCCGAAAACTTTTTTTTGAGAAAACCTAAATTGAACGTAACTCCCCCTCAATCACAACGAGTTGTTGGAGGCTGCGAAGAGGAATACAAAGATCTGCACAACAGGAATAGAGCCGTAAGCCATTCCCTCATACCCCCTTCACCGTACCCGACTAATAACGATGGCACAATCTTCGCTACATCTTCTTCCCGCATTCGAAATCAAATATCTCGCTTTAATGGCGGAAGTTGTTCAACCGATGACGCCTTTACCAGCTCCCAAAACCAATTGTCATATTTTAATCGGTTACCTAATGATAGGCATTATTGGATGCTCATGCAAGCAGCTTATCAAGCGAATCCGCAGACCGCTCTTCACCATTCGAACTATAATATTTTCGTCACTTTCGTATTGGGCCTATGTTTAGGAGTTAATTCTATATGCGCTTGGCTTTTTTTCCGACAAAATATTGGCCTCTTTTAATCGTGTTTTTAATATAACTTCGTTACCAAATAAGAATATGTTAATGTGAATTAATCATTTTTTTTAAAAAAAAAGTCATTTTTAAGTAACAATTGTGTAACCTATTTTTTATGTCTTTACTTTGTATATATAATATATATATGTATTTTTTTTTGCAATTAACAATACAATTTTTAACCTTTGTTGTATACCAATTAAATAAAATTGTCATTACTATGCAATATTAGTAATTTTAAGGAATATGCCTGCCTTATCATTTACAATTAAAAAATATTAAGATTTATAAATAAATGGAATTCGTCTTTGTTTTTGTGTAAAATGATCGATTACTTCATTTATAAAGATAGATTCGATAATCGCATTTGACTCATCCTGTTTCTGCAATAAGATTTGATTCTTTTTAAAGATGAAAAACCCCGTTCTGCACTTGCTGTTGTTGAAGTCAATGTTAAGATGAATTTGCATAATTTTAAAATTTAAAACTTTTCATCAAATCGGTACATATCAAAAATTCAAGTATTTCATTAACATTCTTTTTATTTCTGAATTCATCGTCCCGAAACACTACCTTTAATTCGGTTTCCAGCTTGTGTAAGTCGAAAAAATGAGAATGAGTGTTATTTAAATTGTCTAATAAATATTTTTGGAAATTTTGATTAAATATTTGGAATTTACTAATTTTTAAATGTATTGAACCAAAAATCAATTTCGTTGATTATATTATCTGTTATTTTAATTATCAAATTTTTATAAAATTCTTTTGTATTGGGCAATCCCGATCTATTACGTTTTTTTATATCTAAATTGTCTTCAATATTTTCTTTTACATTTAAATTTCTCCAAAAAAAAACATTAATGTTTTCTATATTCGATTTAACTGAATTTCGGAAATCGTTAATACCTTTGAAGACAATAAGCGATATCGTTAATTTTAGTTCGCAGTATATCGAATAGTAAATCAAATTCTGGAAAGATTTCTTGAAAAAAATATAATAAAATTAGAAAAATTTCCATCATTCAATATATTTAAATAGCCACGAACGATATGTTATTAGAACGTCATTATCCCTGACAATTACACATTCTCCACCAATCATACTTTCAAAAAAAGAAACGACTAGATCCTTCAAATAATTGAAAACTGTTTGAACCAGCTTACCATTTCCCATCTCGTTGGGGCTACTTGTGGTAATCTTTTTTTTGGATATATTTATCATATTCTGCTGTTCGCTTAGATGATGTAACTAAAATATCTGGCTAAACCAGATAAAGTTGCTAAAAAAACCTAACATTCTTTAATTTTGCTGCAAGAATTTGAATAATATTAGATTCAACTTATGGGCAAAGCAAGGAATATAAAGTGCCGAATGATTGACGTCCCTAATTTTAGCTTATAGTCGGATGTGAATCGCCCATAACAGTTGCGCCATCTTAATTTTGACCTATTAATTTTTTTATCATTCAAGAATTTAATGACAAATTTAGATGTATAATTAGCATCTCGATGCAGAGTAACATCAAAGAATTCAATAAATCTTTCATACAATGACCCGTTATTTAAAACATAACGAAGAACAACAGCTAGTTGAGATCTATTATTGATATCTGTTGTTTCATCTAATATTATTGATATAAATTTCCTTTTCTTCTTAATTTAATTAATATTTTTATGGTGCAAGACGTATGAAATGGAATTAATTAAATCATTTTTAATGTCGCTTTATAGTCCAATAAAAACTACAATTTTCTAAATGATGTTTCAGTAGTAAATTTACTTCCGCGAGAAATAAATTAATTCAATATTATTTTTATCTATTTACTGAATTAGAGGATTAATCATCACCACGGAATGCCGGCTCCTGAATTCCAAGAAAACATAGAGTTGATCAATATTTTCAATATTTCTCTATTTGATTTGACTTTCGAATTATGCTGTTCGATTGATATTTTGTGCATCGAATCTATCATATTTTCAATACGATTTTGGCCAGTTTTTAATTCAATCATCGACTGCAAATGAGCGGTTGATCCTTCATGCCGTTTAACTGCCTTTGAAAAATTATTCATATCCGAAAATCCTTTATCGTTTCAAGCACATTTTTCCTTTGGGAATAATAGGCATGACCAACAATATAGAGAATTAGAAAATCACGTCCAGTGAGCAACTCATATTTTTCATATTTATCGATAGAAAAATTATGAATGCAAGTTTTGAATCCTTTTTTTTTAAGTTTTGTAAAAGTGGTTTTGGTCTTCCTTTTTCAATAATCAATTTTTCCGCATCAAAATTTCTTGAGCTAAATGATAATGTTAATAAATTTTCAATAATACAATTACAATTATTAAACATTAATTAAAGGCTTATAAAAAAATAAAAAAAATTTTTATTTAAAAAAAGTAAGGTAAAAATAAAAATATAATATAAAAAAAATTCTTTCTCTTTTGTTTATTAAATAAGCATTTTTTTCTTAATTTGTTTCCCCAATTAGTGTTGCTAAACGGCTCGTCTTGAGCCCATTTTTTAAAACGGCTAACTCAATATTTTAGCTAGAAAAATATTGCCTAAGTCTCGATATTTCGATAATATGTGTCTAGACCTTTGTTCCTTCAATGAGCAAAATCCTCAGGCTACTGTATTAGTTAGCCGTTTAACGATACTATTCCCAATGCATATTTTTTAATCGTCACAATTTCACAATGTGATTTTCTCTTTATTTATTAAAAAAAATGAGCAATATTATATTTGCTTCCCCACATGTATATTTTTTTTAACGTAATAAAAATATTGCACCATAAATATATTGTATGAAACCATGATTTTATAAATTAGTAGTAAAAATAATAGTAAATCTTTTAACGTAGTAAATAATAATAGTAAATTATTGTATCCTAGTAAAAATAATAATATTTCTTAATAATAGTAAAAATAATATTAATCTTTTTAAGGTTATGAAAATTATATTAATATTTTTTTCAACGAAGTCAGATTAGTTTATTTAGCATAGTATAAAGATTATATTCAGTTTATTTAAGAATTTTGTAAGAAAAATTTCAAGGGAAGCAATGCTTCCCATACTATGGACGCTTCGTCGTTGATTTACACTACAAGGAATATTAATTAATCCTATATCATTTATTTTTTTTATGCTATAACTAGTTTTATTTATAAATCATATGTTACAGAGCTTTTGTTTTTAGCAGCGATGCACTTTAAATATAATGTGATGGATTAAGATACCGAAATTTGGCAAGTATAATGATTTTTTGTCTGGAAAACTCGTTTTTAATGTTTTTTTTAAGTGGCAGGTGTGACTCAAAGGTTAAAGATCTGAGAGTCACATTGTTTTAAACACAATCTAGAGTTTTGATAATAAGAAAGAATTATAATTTTAATTCTTATATAAGTTTTATAAAAAAAAGTTACCAATATTCGATAAAGGAATATAATAGAATGTTGCTAAAATTAAATCGTAACATTATTTTAAAATATACAACATAATGGTATTGTTAGCCAGCCCTCAATACAGATATTGTGTTGATTTTTAATACAATTAGGGATATATCAATCCAATGGTAATAAAATATTTGTTATACTAGCAATACCAATATTTAAAAATAAATACAAATATATTTATATTTAATAAATATTGACTTTAGCGTGGATATTCCATATGTGTCTTATTTTAGAAACTTTCTAATATTAGTTATAAGCTAAAGTTATAAAAAATAAATATTTATTTTTTATTAAAATTGAAAACATGAATCAGATATTTATATTTAAAAAAAAATTTTAAGTGACTATATTGAGTTTGAATTGTGAGTATTTGTATTAAAAATAATAAAATATATACCGTTATAATTTAATTAATTTCAATTTAATGCCTCAAGGGCCTATTTTTCAAATTGTTTCAAAGGGATAAAAAAATATTAGTAGTAAATGAATAGTAAACTCATAATTATATTATTTTTCAACTGCTTAATTAATTTAATTTTTATTTTTAAAAAGGACCCTGTCAAGATTATTTTTTAATTTTTAAGCCTCCGAATTTCCTGAATTTATAAATCTATTTACGTTTTCAGAAGGCAAACTAAAGAAGGTTTTTATTCGTATGTACTTAGACATACAAGACCTATTCTCTAAACTATTTATTCTAACTCACTCAAAAACAAATTATTATCTGAGATGCAATATATTCGAAATCTAACTATTAACATGTCTTCAATCAATAAAAGCAATGCGAGATGTTTTTTGGATATTTAATAATTTAATTGGTAAAATGCAGTTATAATTATTTTAGGAGAATCCAGGATTTTATATAATATTCTGAGGAAAGCTATTGCTGAAATAACAAGAAGGAAAAGGGGGGTATCATTTTTGATTATTATTATTAAAGTTTTGAAATTTAAAAGAAAAAATTATTTTTTTAATAATTAATATTATTCATTTTTTTGAAAAATTACAAAAAGTTTTTATTTTTTGGAAAAATTATTTTTGTTTTAGAAGGATAATAAAATTTTTGTCTAAATATAATAAAATTTTTGTTTTGATATACTTTCAAAGTTGTTCGTTTTTTTAAAATAAAGTTATTAAAAAAGTCTTGGTGTACTATATTTTCAACGTATTATGAATTGTTGGTTTTTGTTTTGATATGTAGGTACTGCTAAGATCGCATAAAGAATTTAATCAGCAACCTCTAATTTTATTAAAATTATATTTTCTCACATATATGGTTAATTTAGTGTTATGTTCTTCATTTTCAAACATCAAATACATTTGATCAACTTTCCTCGTGGTTGCCACAAAATCACATATGTTTTAATGAATGATATGATTTTAAACTAGCGGCAAAGCAAACATGTTAAAACCAAAAGTTCTTTCAGAAGTTTTAAAGCAGATTAATACTGGAGGGATTCATAGCACATTGTTGTTATTAAATTTTAACCTTTCAAATTATATATATTTATAGATTATTGAATAATGAAGGAGCTTTATTAGCTCA